TTCCCTACAATTTCTCTAATCAATCTGAAATCTGAATTCAAAACTTTGTGTGGATGGTGCGTGCGTATGCGTGTTCCCGTATGCCATCAATTCCAGCCATATTCTTCTTGTGATCGAGCCTTCTGCTACACACTTTCAAATCTGCAGGCTTGCCCTTAAATCAAACTGACTTTTCAGAAAATGTAATTTATTTTAATGACTAATTTCAAATCATTGGCTTCTAATTCTTGATTCTCAAATATATATGACTTCCTCTTGCTCTCTGCAGTTTTCCATTTCATAAAATGAGTCATGTTTAATAACCTATATGATTAAAAATGAAACAACATGGAAAGGAATGCGATGGCAGAAAAATCATTATCTGACCAAATGACTGTTATTTTGAGGGAAATCTCCAGGAAGGATGATAAAGTGAGACTGTCTAACCTAGAAATTGTAAATAACTATTATGTTTTTATTTTTCAAGGGATCACCAGTCTGCTTGCCAATGGAGTTTACAGTGCTGCATATCCTTTGCATGATGTAAGTAATCTTGCAATATGTTTTACATGTCTACTATCTGACACCAAGAAATCCTTAAGGTGTTACTTTTAATAGCATCACCCCAAACATGACTGTTTCGGATCCTGACTTCCTGCTCACTTGTAGCACGACTGCAGTAACTTCTGCAGGTTGTTTCCATCACTCTGCTTGCTTTTAATGAATTCCCCGCTTCTGTTCTACCTTTGATCATTAGTGACATTTGAACGTAACGTTAGAAGAGTTGTTTCGGTGGCTTAGCAAGCAAAATGCTTCTGTTATTTTCTGAGCTTCTGCTTCCGAGATCCCTGGCGCCAGTGCTAGGAAACATATTTATTCCTGGGGCACCAAGTGGTTAGTTCCCTCATCCACATCTCCCCGGCATCCCCCCTGCAAGTACAGAGATGTAAGTAGCTGTGTGTCTATGCGGTTGGTTGCCACCGGAGAAAAAACCACAAGGAAGAATTTGAAGTCCATGGGACTGGATGTGACTGCAGACCGTGCTACCGGTGAAATCTGCCTTTGAGCAGTTCAGTAAGATGTCCAGATCAAGTAAGATTCAGTAAGATGTCAAGAGTGTGTTCAACTATAGCGTTCATCAAGAGGACTGGAGAGAGGCAGGGAGTTTTGGTGGCCCTTATACCTGAGCTGGGGATCCCCATCCTGCCGGAGGTGCACAGCAGTTGGATGCTGATGGCATTTTTACTTAGAGGTTCAAGGTACAATGAGAACTGACAAACATGCACCCTTAGCTAGACCCTTACAGAAAGGCTTGACAGATGTGAAGGGGACATGGCAGTCGTGCTGCTCATGACGCGCTGGCCCTGTGAGCATACCCGGGCTGTCGAGCCTGGTGCCGGTTTTCCAGCATGGCATGTGGACATGAAGTGTGTCTTCCCAGTTTTCTGCTCCCCTCACTCGCACTGGTTTTACATGGGACTGCGAGCGTATTATCTCGGTGTAACCGCGACCAAAACAGCCTCTTTATCTGCCTGATGTTTATCATAAATGTCAGGCACCCTTAAACTACAGCAATATCGCTTAGAAATCCAGAAAGGTTAAATAAACTTCTCTGCATGTACTTGTCTCACGTCTTCAGACAGCTACTGATAGTCCTGTATATAAGTTATTTATTGTCTTAGTTTACTCCTTTATCCGTATTTAAAAATAGTTCCAAATGAAAACCTCAAATCTAATCAGCCTTGAGTGTTTGGAGAGCCTGGATAGGGATCAGCTCTCTCATCTGGTCTCTTCTCTTTCAAGTGGACTGAGCTGAACCCCAAATACCATGGCAATACCGCATCCTTTCCCTTGACATTTTTAGGCCACCTTTATCACTTATTCATTCCTTTTCCCCCGGTGACAGACATTATTACTCTTTCTTAATGTTCCTGACAACAGAAGACAAAGTGTGCTATGACAAATGAACTCCTAAAATACAGCATTATTTTACAGATTGCTTTTTCTGGTTTTGATGCATTAAGTGAGTGGGATACATGGGTATGCGAGATGCATAGCAGGTCTGGCTGCAACTTGCTGAATGACTCAGATTTTCTTTTTTTTTTTTTTTTTAAAGGGTGACTATGAAGGTGAAAACGTTGAACCAAATGACAGAAAAGTAAGTTGATAGAAAGGGGGTTTAACACATTCGCCAGAGTCCCAGCCTGAAGAGTCACCTCTTTGAATTTGAACATTTGCCAAGAGTTCACAGAAAATACTGCAAAAAAGGCACTAAATGCCAAGCAGCAGAAGTCCAGAAGTACTTTCCAGTGTCTAAATTTGCCCAAATGTGGAATGAAGTATGGATACGTATAGATTACCAAGCTTGATAATGATACATTTCTTGCCGTGTTGTTAAGAGTGTAGACAGCATTCACAGTTCCGAAGTTCAGGTGGTGTAATTTCAGGCCAGCTCTGACGCGAATATGCTCAGTCATATTCCGGTACCCGTATCTGACATAAATCCTGCTTCGCTTGGCGGCGAGCTCCGGTCTCAGTGCTGCAACCTCTGCTGAATTAACGTGCTGCTATCTGGATCCGAGGATTGAGGATGAGAATCGGTGGGGGAGGAGGGAGGCGGTTGAAAACATAAACGTAAAAGTTATTGTGAAAGATAAAGGCCGAATATTTACGAGAAATGAGACATTCTCAGCAAAGCTTTAAGGTGCGCTCTTCAGCCAGCGACTGCCCTGTGGATGCATACTGATGCGTTGCGTTACTTTTCACGTAAGTCTGTGGTTTAGATTGTGGTTTTATTGCCTGTATACGGAAAGGCATTTGTTCATTGTAGTAAAGCGAGTGGGAATTAGTCTGAGGAAACATTTTCCATAAGAAAAAGCAAATTTTTCACCCTTTGCGGAAATGTTGATTTCTTAAACTCAGAGCACAATTACTACAAACTCTCAGTCACGCGCCCCTACAGAAGATAGGCTTCTTTTCCACGTATCAGGCAAAACCTGAAGTACGGAGGTTACGACCAGCTCTCTCAGGAGAAGCTACTAAATTTGGGTGCCGTATATGTCGGTCGTTCAGACTTGAAACTACGCCTTTCCGATTTGTTTCACAGTCACATCTCTAGAGAAATCCTCTGGACCAGCGTGGGCTCAGGTCGTAGGAAAAGCAGATCTAAAGCCTTCCAAGTTGGTCATATAAAAATAGGTACCCAAAATTAAAGGTCTGCTGGGCCTTAAGGTGCAAATGGCTCATCAAAAGACAGCGGCTGTTATTTCTCCCCCTCTATTGACTTGTGGTAAAAACACCACGTACCTGTCATTTCATTATTAAGCAACACATTGTTCAACCAAAAATAGGATGAAAGTCCATGCTTTCTCACAGCGTCTGGATTATCATCTTTATTACTAACTTTTCAAACCTCACAAATTCACTCATTTCACAAGTTCGCTGTGCGTTCGGAAATGTTTACCTTGGCTTTTGACTTCTAGTTCCCTCAAATTATCTTTTGGTGTGTTTTGGCATGTATCTTCTGGTTTCTTGAAGCTTTCTTTCATCTAATGCAGTGCTAGGCCAGGCTTGTGCTTTTTTTAACAACAAAATTAAAGATTTGAGGCATAGAAATGAAGTAAATATTTAGGGCTAGTGTGCTGATCTCCTCTAATCACGTCTTTGAAGCTGTGCTTTGAATATCAGGCTGATAAATGTCAGGATAAATGAGATAATTAATTTGTACTTTAACACAAATTTGGTTTGAAGTGCTGTACAAAACTGAAACACGGCACTGATGCAAAGTCTCCTTAGCTTAGTATTTTCCTGATATGCCTGACCAGCTTAGATCACAGAAAAGGAACCTAATTTCCAGCACAAACTTAGCTTGTAAAAATGAAACAAAAAATAATAAAAGGAAGGGTCTTAGTGCACGTGGATGTTGAGGTGTCCCCGAGTCATTAATTGTTTCCCAGACATAGGCAGCTGGCCTTAAACTTTTGGAAATGTGATTGAAAGATACATATAGCACAATAAAAATAAAATTTGCAAGAACGTTGCTGTTAAATAAAGGCCTGACTTTAGGTTTCAGTTTCTGCTCTCGCTATGGTAAAGAAACTAATAAAGATTAATGATTTTGGGTTGCAGAGGGGAAAATCCACAGTCCACTTATATGTTTTGACATCATATTTCTGTAAAACTAAAGAAGCTGTATTTTTTGAATGGCTTGAACCATTTGCATGAGAAGTACAGCAGTTGAGCTTGGAAAGTTTGTGTTAATGATTTGGCAAGAGAATTGCAAAACTGCTCTAGAAACACCGTTCGCTGCATGACTTCTCTGCGACAAAACGCGCGAAGGAGGAGCGGGTACGGGCAGCGGCGGGACTGCCAGTCTGCCCTTCCTTGCTTGGCTGCGTTTCACTGGAGAGATGTAGAAGGCCAACATCTGTCAAGTTTCTCATGATAAAAGAGCCCACGGATTTAAGCAATAACATCCTGTTTGGTCTGTTCTTCTATGAACAAGATTAATAACGTTGCCCCGGCTGTAATAACTGGTTTTGGTCTCGGCTCCCCGTTGCAGTTTCTTCCGCAGCTGAGCCGGCCGTGCAGCCCTCGCCCGCCAATGCAGGTTTGCGCAGCCAAGATCTGAAATTTTCTGCCTTTTTTACCCGATGCTCGATGAAAAGAAATACCTCGGCAATAATCAGCTCACGCTCTTGCATTTGAGGGAAAAGGAAAACGATGATGATGTTGCCAGATGGGTTAACGAAAGCAGAAGTGACCATTAAGGCATCTCCTTGAAATACCAGCAGTTGGTCCAGGAACGTCCTGCTGCCCAGTTCACGTCACGGGGCTGAAGGGGGGAGAGCAGCAGTAAAGGGAGACCCGACTTCACAAGCAGATGTAAAGCTTCTCTCGCCCTTGTCCCACAGAGGAGGTGACGGCTGGGTGGCCAGTGGGCACACCTCGTCTTCTCCAGTATGTTTTGTACACACGCCCATTTCTTGTTCACTCGCTTAGCTGAACTGAATGAAGAAAAAAAATCAGATCTAAGAAGCGCTATTTATATATTTTACAAAGTAAAAGGTAAGCTGAATGTCTCAGAGGAACCTATTCTTGTGAGGGATTCAATTTTATAAATCACTAATGGGGACCATTGTTTTCCTTGGCCTGTATCCTAACCAAAAGGATGAGAGGAAATCATCGTGTTCTTTTAGTTTAAAGCTGAAAAACTCCTAAACGCAGCCTTTGAGGCACCTCTGCACAGCACCTCTTGATGGATGCTGGGTATTGTAGTTAGTATAGTGGAAACAAACCAGTTTATTTTTTTTCCGTCTTGTAACTCAACGCATATTCCTCTTTCACGTCCATTCTGCTAGATACCTACAGATCACAAAATCAGGACTGCTCTCCCTGTCCCCGCTATAGCTGGCCATCAGTCCAGTTGCCGAAAAGCCTTTTAATGTACTAGAATTCATCGCTATATTACAACATGCCAAATCATCAGCTTTGTTTTTAATACTTAATGCAGACTGGGTGTAGTGGCAGATTATGGGTTGAAACCACAAAGCGGTGAGACCGGATCCACGGCATGAGCTCTGCGGTTTGCTGGGACCGAAGGAAAAAACACTCATGTTCGCGGTGCTTTAGCTTTCGCCTTGCCTTTCTGTTTTACAGCTCCTGTGTGAGGAGTGGGCGAGCTACGGAGTCTTTTACAAATATCAGCCAATTGACCTGGTGAGGTGAGA